GTTTCAAGGTGCAACATGTACCGACCTATGTCTAAGAGCATGTGAGCATCTGCTATCATCCTAGCTCATAGCCAAGTTGCAAAGTACACCTACGCTTGCGTAAATACAGAGATTATTAGTGTTGACATGCTCACGCCTGTCCTCAATGAGATTTGGCCGATGAAGTTCTGATTGAGCTAGAATCCACCGCCAAACCTCGTAGGTGAGTTGCTCCGCCTGAGCCTCTCGACGTCTGGATGCAAGTGAGGCGTTGCACATGTACCAGACGTTGATCGAGTGATTTTTGATGGATAGTTGATGCTTCCGCGAGCTCTTCTGGTGTATGTCTTAGAAGAACAGTCGTTGTTATGAGTGCTTGGTTGTGACGCGCGATGAGTGGGAAGTACTTGCGACACGAACCTCTGAGTTTTGGGGGAAACGTGGAAGATGTCAACGGCTAAAGGATCTTCATGAATCACACTGATGTCTTCTCAAAAGACGAACTACAAATATTGCGAGGATAAACCCATAAGCCCCGAAATAACAGCCCGGGAACTCCATGTCCAACGTCTCAGTCTTCCGCCTACGCGAATCCCAGCTCAAACCATTGCTCAGCCACAACACACACCCTGAGTAATATCTCGCTTTCCCATTCACTAAAATGTCTCTCCGTATGGTCCCTCTAACTCTACAAGAATTTGCATCTCTAGAGCCGCCCGAAGTCTTCCGGGAATACTGCTTCTGGACATGCTGCCGGTGCTTCACGGACGGCAACCGTATGCCGGCCGAGCCCGCGACCCAGGTCTGTCGAAATGACGGCGGCCGGCCCTGCTCTCGTGGCTATGGGCGACACGGTATCCATGTTGGGCCGTGTCAGTGGTGCGTGGTTTGGATGCCTAGGTTACTCTTGTTGGCTTGTATGAGGGCGGTTGAGATTGATGAGGTCAGGATGTGGTGAGGATGGGAGAGGACGTCTTGCGGTTACAAGGTTTAAGACCCGTACAGTAGAGAGGGTTATGACAGAGAAAATCCCGCATCTGATAGTATAGTCATATGAACACAGTCATCTTGACAATGGAATGAGATTGGCTTAGCCGATCATCGACTGAGTATCATTTGAGGAAACCCGCCTCCACCACCGGTGTCCATACTGCAAATACTCCATCAAAGCCTAGGTAGTCTCAGGTTCACCAACCGATAACATGTGATAGAATGACCGCTTCGTCGCCAGTTGTCGTGCGCTCTCGTAGGTGCTGCTACATCTACTTGTGTGATCACGTTCAACATTCCCCAAGTAATCAGGAAGAAAACCCAGAAGGGCAGTGATGAGAAGCGAGACTCTGACTGTTGGTTGCCTCCCCTTGTCGTCTAAGCCTCCTCCACCTCATGAACTCATCGTCTGATGTCTTATTTGCTTGGGACCAACACCACGTTGCAACCTGGTGGCCGAAGCTCATTCACCAGAACGCAATATGCTAGGATAAAATGCCTCTGAATCACTGCCTTTCTACACCCTCATGTCAACATCATCTCCTTTTGGTTGGCTTGAAAATGAGATAAATACTGATCCGGATCCTGACTTTCAGTATTTGGATCCCTCTCACATGGTATCTTTCTCACTTACACAGCGAACCTCCTCTGATATCATCAGGTAATTTAAAACGTAAGAGCGACTTAACATCTTGAACACTAAACATCTCGAACTGCCACCATGGCGAAACTCCAGAAGATCAGGATGCCAGTCTTTTGGAACAGTAACCGCCCGTGGAATCTGAAAAGACGGTGCTGGTGGACTTGTTGCAAGTGCGGTACCAGGAACGAATTTGAAGAGGGCCGCACCTTGACACAATGCCGGAAAGCGGATTGTCCTGGAGGAGACGGTCCACATTGGGGGCCTTGTAGTTTCTGCTCGGCATGGGAGCCGGTGAACCTCTTGGGATGAGGAGTGATATGCTACTATAGCCGTCTGCGTCATCGACGGCGACGACGACGGCTATAATAGAATAATCTCTAGGGGTTGCCAGTGACAGGCAGTCCGTAGGTTGAATAAGTCTGAGTCTCAGGCACTTGAGTAGTGGAGTACTCATTCGGTACCTCAGAGATAGAACGTAGTCTGAAGTTAGCAAGTAGTTTGAAGTTAGTAGTTGGTCTGAAGAAACTCCAATACTCTTTAATATTAACCGCATGATTCACATCTCGGAGCGTTTGTGAGACAACTTATCAATCGGCAGAATTCACCATGAGAAGTTGAAGAAAATAAGTCGAATTATCTGTCAAGTACCAAAAATCACAACCTCGGATCCCTCACGCACATAGCAACCATGTAGTAAGAGCCAGATCTTCACCATAAATTTCTTCCAGCCAGTCATGTACTCGAAAATTGAATCCTCCTCCAACCCCTCGAGACATCCTAGCATCTCCCAACCCACCCGTCCATAAATGTCGTTCTAAGGGCAAGAAATGCTACCGAACTGGTTCTTTGTGGCTTGCCACCAGCTAGACTCAACCATGCCGGCATTACATCCAACACCGGTGGTGAAACTCCAAGCGAGGTTGCCGTTGCTGCCGCCGCAGCTGGGACTGCTGACGGCACAGGCGCCGAAGCGCTTGAGGTTATCCCAGAGGCCGCCGCACTTTCCGGGGACGTCGTCGACACCGCTGGCGGTGATGGACCAGCGGTTTTGTGAGTGGCTGCAGGTGGCGGCTGAGGCTAGAGGAGCGATGGTGGCTAGGGCGAGGACGGCGGTCGAGGTCGTGAACTTCATTTTGTGGTGGTCTTGTAGGAGTAATCTGATGATTAAGAAGGAGAGAGATCGTATAGATGTTTTAGGGGTGAATATATTGAAGCTCTGTAGTGAACTGTGTGTTAGATGAGTGGTGGTGGTGGTGATGAGACGAGGCCACCTACTAAGTGGCGGTTCATGAGACTTATATCAGTCAGAGTTTTTCGATTTCCGAGGTCGCTACGAGCTGCGTCGTCTCTCAGTGCGCCGTCCATCAAGCTCAAGGAAGCTGCCTAGAACGGGTCTCACGACAACCCTGCAACGGCGATGAAGACAAGGGAAGAAGCAGGCATAATCATCACGAGAGCTCTCGACTGTTACTCTGGGCTGTAAGCTGATTTGATCCACTGCGAGATAGAGTGGACTCAAACACTCGGCAGAGCCCGGCCCGGGAGCTTCATCTTGGGAAGTCACGAGTTGTCAACTTGAGCGAGTGTGAAGAGTTCCCAAGCGGTGAGGCTGACGGTCTAGGTTCTGAGCATCCTTGTATCTGAAATCTGATATTCTTATCGACTGGCATTACTTCGAGACCCTGAACCCATGGTCCCAAGAGGTGTTCAGGGTTGTATCCAAAAGAGGCAGCTGTCCCCGACGAAGAACGGGATAAAAAGGCTACAGAAGGCGCTTTGCTGGGGAATCCGGCCGTCACTATGCGAAAAGGGTCCTGATTTGGGACAAAACTGTCAGATATACGAAGACCTCGACGGGACCCGTGGGGTTGAGGAGTACCGCAACACGATGGGGCACGGGTGTCAATATTCGGCTTACTGTGGGCCAAGCCGAACTCTTTGCGGGCCATTGATCCTTCCCGTTGCTGACAGTTCGGTGAGTCGGAAGCGGCAAGTCAGCCTAGATTTCCTCAGGGGCTAGAGGTTGGAGGCATAGCGACATGGTCCGTGAGGTTGGCGATTCGTGATATTCTTAGGTGCTGAGTCTCTGGAACTATCGGCCTCCATCACCATGGAAAATGTTCAGCGGCAGCGTGTCGGCTTCAAAATCCCATCAACTGGCGGTTCAAACTGTGATCCTGTCGCGCTCGGCCAAATGGTCCGAAGCGACATGGATGCCATTGACGATGGTGTAATAGGTCAATTTTGGCACTAGACCTTGCGGTAATCTGTTCACTAATATCAAAATATCAATTGGTTAAACTCTGCAACCACATCCTTCTTCAATAAGCTCTTCATCATCCCGGAGAAACAACGTTTGCGGGCATCTCACGTTGGGTCTGCGAGTAAGGTCGTATGGAGTACGAACCCACCACTAGCTTACAAGTGGAGTTTTGCGCGGGTACCTTGTTTACCCATGGATAAGGCCCCACGCGCTTGGGGATGGAACAGGTTCCAACCTACCATTGCGCCTCTCTACTTTCCCAATGTTCACCACGAAGTTCGTCGGATGCCATGGCGGGATGTGCCGCACTACTTACTTGATTTCCCATAGCGAGGATCCAACATCTTTCAATTAGGGCCCTCGTTCACACTTGCCAAGGACTTGGCAGACTGCTGGCAAGGCAGTTGAATTACACCTTTGAAAATCTTATTACTTCTTGCCAGTCCTCGATAAACAGCAGGAAAACCATATCAGAATCGGCCAATTAGTGTAGTGCTATGCTCATGGAGAGAATACGCAAAGATTTCTTCTAGCTTGAATGACCAAACCAATTGGTCCTCACGTCAGTAATCATCATCGCGCTGCTAGGACACGAAGTAGGCTGCCGCGAAGCACATGTCGATCAACTTGTGTTTAAGGGGAAAGAGCCATGCTCGAGTACCGCTGTTTCCTTCTCTCCTGAAATGGCGCAGGTGAAACCTACAGCATTAGTAGACAAGATTCGAGGGCAACAACACAGCCTTGTGCCGCGTGCCACTGTCTGAAAAACCTACCGGTACCGCCATTTGTTAACGTTCCCAATACTGTTTTCCAGCCTGGCCTTATGATCAGTACTACTAGAATAATCGAGCATTTGTCGAGATTCTGGTGTTGCACGAAGGAGAGAACCTGACGTACCCGGATAACACCTTTCGTGATCTAGCTTTTCCTAGCATTGGCGATCTGCCACCTTCAGTTGCCAAGGTAGCTGACGGCACCCCAGTCGAACTATCCCTACCGGCGGCAACGTTGGCAGCGCGTTGTGAGAGGCAAGCGTTCAACATTAGTAACACAACAGATGGCGACGGTGTCTGGTACTATAACATTCAGATACCAGTTACCTGCGCTGATGAGACGTCTGATGCAATGAGTGCTTCCATTCTTCGTCCCAGTGTACCTACTGAAGATTCGAAAAAGTGGCCAAGTGCCTATACAAAAATCTGGGGATTCGAGAAATCCATGTGGAGTTCCCAAAACATTAACAGCTCGGTTTGTGCCATGCAGGCTTTCCACAACCGTAGCGTCTTGGTATCTGCGCCTTCAGTATCTAACGTCTACTTATGGGGAGGTTCTGATTATTCGACAACCGATGTCGAGTCATTGCAAGCCTGGAAGTGCCGATACTCCTCGTGGGAGAGGATCATGGTGTCTGTCGAGATGGTCTCCGCCAACGGCAAGCTTGTCCTGGACAACACCAACCCTCCACGCCCCGATCGCTCGACATCAACTCCGTGGAAGGACCACATCCCAGTGCCTTTTCTCGATCCTCAAACCGATGGATTGGAAGCGGAAAGTTGTGGTAGCGCTTTTCCGGAGGTGGCTCGGACGCAGGGCCTGGTATCGTATTTCAACGCTTCCAACATCCTGATCGCGCCTTACGGGCAGGTCCCACTCGAAGCCTTTGGTGATCCGCAACAGAGCTGGAAGATTCTCGAGGCCCTGAAATACAATTGCGCTCTTCTCAGTGCACAGATTCTCAATATTGAGAATCGACTGAGAGTAGAAGAAATGCAAAACGAGGAACTAGAGCCACTGAGCGCAGTCCTGATGAACAACAACGCCAAGCGACTCGTCCAAAACCCAACGACGACCTACCTTCTCGTAGGAATTCTAAGCTTTGTTGGCATAATACATATCTTCATGCTCTTCTCGTCGGCTTTACGACGATTCACGAGGTGGCGAAAGGGATTGCTCGATATGGATGTTCAAGGGCTGGCAACTAGTGGGTTTAGCAGCATTGCAATGATGGCCGCTCTTCTGGATTCCTCGGACTTTGCGAAGCATAACCCTGAAGATTCGTATAAGTTGTCGAACAGGCTTTCATCTATACGCTTTCGTATGGGATGGTTTCGGAGGGAGTCGGATTGAACGGTACACTTTACTGTTGGGGTTATGGTTATGGACGATGATGACTTCAAATTCGTGGGCAGTAAGGAGACCGTGGGTGATGAAAACTTGGGTCGCGAAGAAATGAACAGGCGAGATGGGGACAACACAGACGAGGACAGCCAAGATATGGATAGCGAGGACGCTTTGGAAGGCGAAGAAAGATCAGAGTTTGAGGGTATAGGCAGGCCTGTTTTCACAGCATAGGAACTCTGGTGCTTATCCACTCCTTCCTTTTCTTTTTATGTTTGCGATGATAGACTTACTTGAATTTGCTTCCATTTCAATACAAACCGAAACCTCAAATCAGACCCCAGTTACAATAGTGACCGTCCCCGTGATATCCGGCCTCAGAGCCGGCAGTCGTCCGCGACTCCCGGATACGACCCCACTCCGCTCCGATCTCAAGCCCGCCGACCAACGGCATCCTTCCAGACCATACCCTCCGCCCGACTTCCAACCACAAAACAAACTTACCCGCCAAATATCGCATATGACAATCCCACGCAAGAACACATCCAAAAGCTCCCCACAACCAATCCCCAGAAGTAAACCAAAAAAAAAAGCAAAAGAGTTCACCCCCCCGGTGGCGAACGGGGGCTACATCTCTTGGTGCACATGGTGGGACTCGAACCTTGACCCTCCTGGTGTAGGCTAAGCCAGCTGAACAGGAAGCTCGCCCGTAACCATCCCGCCAAACGGCAGCTTTGACCTGACCTCGCAAGCCCGTGAGGCGCCTGCTGCCGTTGGTGACGGGAATGGACTTGAGGGGGTCTATATGGGCTTCCTTCCTGCGTGTATACACTCACCAAGGTGTCGGGTAAGAATCATCAGATGAATATTTGTAAGGCAGGTGCGGTTGACAACCCACACTGCCTGGCTCCTTCCTCCATGGTTCTAAGCCGGATCAACCAGAACCCCTTCGCCGCCAAAGACTAAACCAGGATCCCTGAGCCTCACAACCACCAAGGCCGGACCTTGATTGAACCCCTCCTCCGTCATCAATCAATCAATCATCAGCCTTAACACGTTCTAGCCCCCCTCACCCTTCCCAGACTTGACAAACAACCCAGCTCGAAAGGCCTACACCCAGTCTTTGGTACCGTCGAAACCCCGCCGCATGAACTTCTCTGTAGCGGCGCGAGAGGTGACTGGTCGCGAGACTCGAGCGGCCGTATCCGAAGAAGCTTGGTTCATGCGTGGCAGACCGGGGTGAGCCCGCTGGGGTCCCAGCCGGCTGCGCGGCGCCCCGGACCGGGGGAGTGCATTGGGGGAAGATCCTTGCGTCGGGGGGCCTTGCATGACAGCTGCGTAATGGAGGCTCAAAGAGGCGGGGGAGAAAAGACAATATGATTGCGGATGCGGCGTCTGTCGGCCATCCAACAGTCACTATAGGCACAATCCAGATTCCTGCAGAACCAGAGGGCTCTGACGCTCAGTTGTAGGCAATTCATCTTGCTTCTCCAATTTCGTCTCCAGGCTTAGCTATCTCTATCTGCTCAAGCCATGCTATGTGGTATCTAGTGTTACAATGTCCGTATCTTAATGAAGGTATCTTGATGCGCCGTGAAAGGTCATAATCCACGCAATCGTCATACTTGGCGTTCTTCGCCCTCTTTCCGCAACTCCAGCCACTTTCTGGGGGCACTTTGATGCGTCGGGCTGTCTCCTTCCTTACTTTTCCTAGCTGTAATCTTCCGACAAAAGAAATAATAATCTTACACATTAGTAGTTGGTCTCTTCAGTCGTTTCGCTTCAGCATTCGAAATCCAGATACTTCGAACCCAACACTCAAATAATTCCATGCATGACAACGGCAAGGACTGGTAGACCCCACGCGATACGACCTCTTGGTTTGCTGGCCATACCGCCGTTCATGAGCAAAGCATCGAGAGGGTTCACCGGGGCTGAAGAGGTGCTTTGCGGTGAGGCCTGGTTCTCAGTCGTTGTCGTTGAAGTGACAATAGTGGTGGGAGGTATAATAGGGGGCGCCTGACTAGATACTGGCGGTATCGCTGTGGTTGCCGGAGGCAGAGGCGCCTGGCTCGACGGCGGCAGTATAATAGGCGTTGATGTTGATAATGATGTTGTTGGTGGCGGCGGCGGTGGAGCGACAGACGTCGTAGCCGGCGGAGGCGGGGGTGGAGGAGGAGCAATGGCGGTTGTTGAAGGCAGAATGATTATCGTTGTGGTAGATATCGTCTGCACTGCCGATGACGTCTGTTGGTTGAGTGCGCCGCAGAGCAAGTTTACCAGGTTTCCGGACAGAGCTTGGCCAAGTATCGTGTTGACCTGTACTTGAACAGACTGACAAACGTCCTGGAGATTACTTTGCATGCGAGTCAGGCCATTTCTGCATTTCTGGGAGCACGTTCCCGTGCTACCAAAGTCGGTGGCTTCGCATCCTTCGATGGGGTTGTTATATGACAAAAGGCAACCCAGCGGAACGGAGAGCTCTGTAATCAGCTGGAAATTAGACAGGCTGAGTGATGTGCTTCCGACGCTGATTGTTGCTGCTGTTGCTGCTGACGCCAAAACTAAGAGCTCGACCAAGCGCCGCTGAGGGCATTCGAATATCGGCCTCCTCATTTCGGGTGTTTTCGTCCGTCGGCTGTGAATGAGATCGCGTTCTGGCGTGGCGTAGCCGCCGTTGGAGGTGTTTGAGATGATTTTCCCACTCGGGCGTTGTTGATTGTGAGATTCTATTCGTATATTGGTTGTAAATGTTTCGTGGCAGATGGTCGAGTCGTCGTCGACAGGACAGTGACGAAGCGGCCAGAAAGACGGTGGCCAACTGAACTTGACAGACCAGGATTTGGCTGGGAGGCACTTGACTTTTGGGGATGGAATGACAGAAGCGTGGCAGTTCGGGCGGCGGGCAGTGAAGGCCAGAGGGTCGAAACGTCTTGCGTGTCAGACAGAGGCTGCTGGGGATGACGGCACAATCGGCTGGGAGAACCACGTCAATGCGGGTCGCAGGGCCGGCAGGGTCCAGAGCTTAGACGACCAAACGGTTGGGTATCCTGGGGCGTTGATTTGAAGGTTTTGGTGTTGTCTGGCTGTGAAGCTGCTGCTGAGGAAGTGCTTACAGATGACGATGGTGTGAAGGTCGCGGGAGTGCGCTCTCTTTTGGGCGAGCTCGTCAATGCCAGCAGGCCGCTTTGGTGTATATTCGAGATCTGGTGATTGGGGCGGCTTGAGACTAAGAGAGTCGTTGGTGATGAAGTGTGTTTCTTGTCTTAGCCGGCATGGACCATGCGCTGGTCAGACAGGGTTTAGGGGAGCCTCTCTTTTCTACCACATGGGTAGAGGATGGGCGGAGAAATGGACCGATTGAAGAGAAGAGATCCAAAGGGATGACTGGTCGGTGGGATTATTGACGGCGAGGTTGCCGATCGTGATTCACCGTAGCGAAGAAGGGTTGCACTAGCAGACTAGCAGACGAGCAGACTTTAGGTCGGACCAAGTCGGGCAAGATGAGAGGAAATAAAGAGGCAAAAAGGTTCAGGAGCTGCCTTTGCGCTGTTGGAGGGTGAAGCTTCGTTGGCCTGTCTATCCGTTTTCTCGCCTTCAAAGTGGCATGCAGTCCGGACGGATGGTGTTTGTCCGAATGTGAAGACGTCGCTGATTGGAAGGGCGGAAGCTGTAAGTCAAGGAGTTGGTTGATGAAGCCACTTGGGCGTAAGTGACACCGGGCGACGGGCAGTTGCGTCTGTGTCGGCGTCGGTCCGGCTAGGACTGGGAATACGGCAAGGTAAGGTACCTTAAGGTAGGGAGAAGGGACGGGGCGAACAGAGGAAGGGAGAGTATCCGCAGGAGGGTGAGGGTGAGGGTGAAGGTGAAGGGTGAGGGCAAGGAGGTGCGATCAAACACTGCTGATCTTGAGGTTGGGCGATCCGAGGTTTTGTGAAACAGAGTTGCTGCCGTCCGCTGCTCAATGACACCCAAACACGCTGCTGTGGCTCTGGACTTTGAGTTCCCAGGTCAGACAGAAGAGAGACGCGGAGCCGAGTGTTCGGGGACGCAAGGAATGCAGGTGGCCTTGATGGAGAAGTGGGCGCAACAAGATAAGTAATCTGTAGACAACAGGTTGAAGAAGACTGGACGAACAGATGAGCAGCTCGCTCAGATATGAGGACGGCGAGTGACGAGGTCGGAGAGTAGTTGAGGGAACGGGAAGACACTAGTCGACTGCGTCCTTATGGCTCTATTCGTCAAGAAGACCCTTGTCTTTCTTGCAGTCTTCCCTCCTTCAGGAAAGACGTCAAGAAAAATGTCCGTCATACTTGTTGATTTGCAGCCAACGAGCTGGACTGATGGCATGTCTCTGGATGGATCATGGGAGTTCTCCGTAGGTAAGGTATGTGGTGAACGGGGCAACCCCTGCGCAGCCGCAGTTCCGTGCAAAGGCACAAACGCCAGGGCGACATCTGACAGGTTGCAGCATTTGGGACGTCAACGGAGGCTGCAGAGGCTGCAAAGTCTTGCAAAGAAGCAGGGGCTCCTTGATGAATCCTTGAAGTCTGTGAACCAGTCAGTCTGCAGTTATGATGAGTAAGTGGTGAAGGAGTGGTGGATTGTTGGCGGGAGGGAGAAGAACGAAACACTTTTGGCGTTTGAAGTCAAGGTGCAGCTAGCCCCTTGTGGGTCTGTGATTGGCCTGTGTTGCACCTGGGGGAGGCCCTTCCAGCTGTGGCCTGCCGCCTGCCCACCCAAAGCGCACAGGGCCGTTTGTGGCCAGGTACACAGTACACCGTACCTCACAGTGGAGGAAGAGCCACAGACTCGTCGGTTGTGCCCGCCCGGGGGCAACTTGGGGGAAGCCATTGGCGCCTGTGATTCGTCCAACAAAAGTCACTGGCTCACAGCTGAGAAGGAAGTCTGGGGTGTTCCCGGCCAACCATTTTCTCACTCTGCGCTCACTCACTCGCTGCTCCTCGTTCATCCAGTCACTGTAAGCTTTTCCTGCCTACGGGGACCTCACGAACTCTGTCCGACGTCGGTCTCATGAACTCTGAGATGACCTGATGTTCATTGGTTGGCTACTTGGTTGATATACTACCAGTGAGAGCTGTGATTCGAGAGGCCGACCAGGAACAGTCGCAGCTCACTCAAAAAGACTCATCCTCAATCCATACTCACTCATCTGCAAACATGTTCGTCCGAAAGCTGCCTTTCACTGCGTTTCTCATTGATGACTTCTTCGTCATCAACAAGACCTCTAGAAGTCTAGAGCAATATCGCGTCTTCGCTAGTACGGACCGCAAGTCTTGCTGACGACTGAATTCATTTACGCAGGTGGACCAATACTTATTCCGACACGCGACCACGTAACGGAAGCCCTTCACGGCTTCCCCCACAACGGATACCTCTTAAAATAGTACTGGGAGCATCGAAGCAAGAAACAAATGGCTTCCAGCCACGTTTAAATGCTGATAAAGCCCTCCCTACTTCGACTTCATACTTATAATTCTCATGCTCTCCCGGCTCGCATGATGCTCCTCATGTACTGTCTCCTCCAACTGCTTCAGATGAACGAAATGATACGACGCCGCTTATTCTCTAGCTTTGGTCAGAGCACACACTGATCTAACGGCACCACGTAGCGAGTGAGATGTCGCAACTAGGGAAATACGTCTTCCTCTCGACTCATCTGTGAGTAGGAACAAAGACAAACTTACAGGAAAACCTTGTATGTCGCTCTTGATGAGACCTCACAATCATAAATAATGAGATTAGACGCCCCATGCTGCGCCACTCGTGGCTCATTCGGTTGAGATTAGGTAGCAAACCCGGGGAACTGGGCATCGTGGAGAGCGCATTGATGCACATCGCGGCCACATCTACTTCCTTGGTTATACCTTAAGTTACCGTGCCTCAACCTTATCGTTACCGCAGCGCGCCACCACCTCATCATTTCATTTTTCGTGTCGCCAGCCCCGGAAGGCGAGAGGCCTATGATATTGAGAGATTGGGATTCCCTAGGCATTTACGATGAGGCTTCATCGCGTCATGCAAGAGGCTTAGGCAGCAGCATTCTGTCTCGAGCGGGGTGGTGGGTGATACCCTGGTACCCGCCTAGTTCAGCCATGCCGCATCACAGAGCCACAGGAACGAGACACCAACGTATACTAGTACTTTATCTAAGTACCTTATTATCAAAGAAAGTTAATTCTTTCTAAGTTATAAGTATAAGAATATAGTTTTAATAAAATAATATAATACCTACTTAGTACTTAAATTAAAATACTTTTTTAAACTTACTATAAAAAAAAATAACTATATTACTAACTACTTATTATTAAAGTCTATAAGTAGCGCTATAGTTTTAATTATAATAGCTTTGCTTATAATAAGCAAAAAGTCTAATTATAAGTCCTTTAAAAACCTCTAATTAAGAGCTATAAGAGCTTCTAAATTAAGTTAAAATACTTATTAAAATACTAATAACTAAACTAACCCTATTATTACGACCTAATATATATAACTAAGACTAGGACTCGCCCCGCAGGCTTATAGCGGCTATAGTATACTATATATATAAGAATACGAGAATATAGGGCGACTTTTACGGAACGGAAGAACTATAGATAAGTTATATATAAATAAGAAATAGTAATTACGTAATAAGGTAATTACTATAATTATTCTAAGTAATTACTTATTAATATTTACTAAGCGATTACTTAACGAATAAGAGTAATTATTAATAAAGGATATATTTATAAATAGACTTATATATAGTATAAACTTAAGCTAGGCTTAAGGATAAACTTCCTATAGCTTCTTTAATAATTAACTTAGTATTAGATTTTATAATCGTTTTTAGCTATCTTTACTAAGAATCCCTTTTAATAAAACTACGATTAATTACCGAAGCTTTATTTATTTTATAACTTATAAATATAGCTTTAGGGAAGCTATTTATAATTATAATACTATTTACTTAGTACTCGTAGCCTTAACTTTTATTAATATACTTATTATAACTAGCTAGCTATAATACTTTAATTACTCCTATTTAATAAGTTAACTTTACAAGACTTACTAAATAATAAAACGAACGACGATATTTTTTAAAACCCTAAGTACCCCTTTATTTAACTCTAAGTAACTTATTAACTTAGCTAGCGAGCTAGCTAAAGTTAAGGATAATAAAATACTTAATATTACTTATAACTCCGATAGCAATATAGTTTTTAAAAAGGTAGATTATAAAAAAATACGACGTACCGTTAAGAAAAGTAATAAGCGGAATAAAGAACTCGCGGAGCTCTTTAATAATAACTCTACTTAGATAGCTATAACTCTAACTAAGAATAACGAAAATATTACTACTTTTTAGAATATAGTTAACGAAGCTATAATTAATTTAAAAATTAAAAAGAGAGAAGTAGATAATTTAGAATAAGAAGTTAGAACCCTCTAAGCCGCTATTAATATTATTAAAACTCTTACAGATAGATAAGAGAAACTTAAGTTTAATATACTTATTATTTTTAATAGAACTACTAAATATTTTAAAAGATTCTTAATTTAGATTAGAACTTATTAAACGTTTTATATTACTAACTTCTGTAATAAAACTAAACAAGTTATTTACGTAATAACCTTTTTTAGAAAACGGGCCTTAGAATAGTTCGAACCCTTTTAAAAAGAATTCCTTAGTAATAACGGTTATTTACTATACTATAAAAAAGAAACTATAAATATTTTTAGTAATATAGTAAGATTTTAAAGCGCCCTCAAATCCCTATTCTAGGACTTTAATAAAAAGTAATAAGCCAAAAAAAACTTAGCTAACTTTTAATAAACTAAGTCTACCTCGTACTACGTTACTAAGTTTAGAAAACTTATAATACGACTCGATTTTACTAAGGAAACCCGTATTTTTTTATTTTACTAAGGACTAAAAAATAAAGTTAAGGACGAACTTAGTAAAATAAAAATACTAATAGAATTTTTATAATATATCGAGCTCGTTATTAAGATCGATACTTAATTATATAAATAACGTAAAAAAAAAAGAGAGGTACGACGCCCTTAAGCTAACTCCGGTAAAAAATATTAGAACTATAATAAATTACTAAGTAATTATTAAAATAACTTAAGAAATTAGTAATAATAAAGTACGTCTTATAGATAATACAGAGGACCTATAGACCTTAGTATTACTAAACGTAAAGAACTATAGTAAAAGAAGGACTTTAAATACTATAATTACGATAAACTAGGATATATAGTTAGAGACTACTAATAACCTAAGCGTATTTAATACTAACCTATTTTAGAAAAACGAGCTAATATTACTAATAAGGAAATTTTTTATAAATAACTCTTATAAACGGCTTACTACGATAATAACTATTTTACTTATTAAAATAGTAAGGAATAAATAGGATAGTACCCTAAGTAACTTAAGAATATAGGACGATTTAAGTACGATATTATATTATTTATTAGAACCCTAGCGGTAATAATAAAGGGAGAAGAAATACTTACTTACCGACCCTATACTCTCAAAGAAAATAATATCGAATATATTACTATACTTTTTTAGATTTATAAAAATATAGAAGAGAAGGCTAAGATAGACCTTATTATAAAGGATATACTTTACTTTTTTAAAGAACGGATTAAGTAAAAATTCCTAGCTAATATAAGGGAGTAACTCCTTAAGTTTAAAAAAAAAGGACCCGATATAATAGAAATTATAAGTAGTCTCGTTTATATAGTATAACGAAACTATATAAACTAAAAATAACCTATTGAGTTTAGGAAGGAATTCGATTCGGACGAAATCCTAATTAAATTTATTTATATAATACGAAAGGTAAATAGTAATAAAAAATTTATTTATAAGGTTAAAGAATAACTTAAAAAACTCTTATATAAAAATAAGATCGAAATAATTAAAAGACCGATTCTTAATTTCGGAGTTACGAAAGAAAGAAAAATTAATTTTAAACTTAGGGAAAAAGAAAATATTAAAATAAGAACTAGTTCTTTTTATTTTAACGAAATAAAATTACCCTACAATTTAGACGAGCCTCGTAACGTTACTTAACGACGTACTTAAATAAAAATCGATTATAAAGTACTACTTAGTATTAACAATACTAGTTTTAAAAAGGACGATAATAAACTATAATATAAATATATTTATCTATTTAAAAATAACTAAACCGTTTAGTTTTATAAAACTAAAAAACGTAAAAAGGTTATAATAACCCCCTATATAAATAAAGATTACTCTCTACTTAACCCTAAAAATCCCTTCTATAAGGAATTATTTTAAATAGAGTACTTAGATAATAAATATTTTTAGTACTTTACGTATAAATAAAATAGCCGTTTTTATTTACGAAAATACGATAGTAAACTTATTAAAGATATTTATATAAAAAACTAATTACTTAGTTAGACATTACTAAACTTCGATAATAATAATAAGGTAATATTTAGCCTAGACCCTAGCCTTTTTATAAAGTATTTTAATAGCGAGTATATAGAATAGGAAGATTGTAAATATAATTAATATTAAGTTTACTATATTAAAAAGGCTAAGGTATAAAGAGAATAATAAGAACTGTATAAATAAAGTATTTAATAAAAAAAGTATATATTAAAAAACTAAAAAAGCTAATTATAAAAGAACGACAAGAGGCGAGAATAGAAAAAAAGTTCTTATTTATAACTAGATAATATAACGACGCATATTTACAAGTTAATTTTAATATTTACGAACGAGGACTAAATACTATTATTAATAGCGGCGCATAAGAAACTTATATTTTATTAAAAATAGTAAATAAACTTAACTTATTATAAGTATAAAAAGATAATTTATATTAATTATAAACAGTAGAAAAAGAACGAGTTAATTATAATTACGGATATATTAATTAAGAGACCGTATACCTTTTAATATATATTAATAATTAATAAGAATAACTATAATACGATATTACGGAAATTAGAAATATTAATATTATCTTAAGAATCTCGTAATTACGAAAATATAACTTATAGATAAATTGGGTTATTAGCTAGGTCTTCTAGGAAAATCTAGTTACTAAACGATTTAAAAAGAAATAGGGTTTAAACGGATTTTTAATAACTTTTAAAAAATAAGAATAAATACGATATATAGCTTTTATTAAGATAGTAAAAAGCTTTAAGAAGTTCGTAACTAGTATTAACGATCGAGGATCGTAACGACTTTAGACTATACCCGAAGAGTACTAGATATATACGAAACTCTTTATAAAACCCAAAGAAATAGAATTACTAAAATATAGTAGCTAGGATATAGAAATCGAACTTAAAGAAGGAGCATAACCTAGGTTCTACTTAATATACTTAATAAATTAAAAAAAAT